TAGATATGAAGTATGTATGTTCCGTAATGGTAACTACACCTGTCAATGTCCACAAGATATTGGTCGAACTGCCGATGGACGATGTATTATAATAAATGAATGTGCTAAGTCACGTTTTAATGATTGCCATCGAAATGCGATTTGCATTGATCAGGTTAGATCACTTCGAAAAATCCCTTTAAGTTTAACAAGAATTGTGCAAAAAAACAACAAGCAATTAATATTGACAAATAAACATTAATTATTTTGTTTCGGCTGATTGATGAATAATTCCAAATCCTTAAAAAAACTATCAAAATTTATTTCAAAATTATTTCGTATCATTATCACTATTGATATGACATCCAATTTAATGTCACACCATAAAAAATTTCTGAGCTGAATAATTAAACAATCTCGCTTATCCGGAAAAAAAATTGACCCGTAACTATGATTCAATAAATGCGAACCATTTCGGATTGTCAAGGAGGAAGCAAAGCTAAAATACATTAGAAGAAAAGTTGAATGAAATGTGGCAAATAAGGTATCATCAAAACCATCTACAAACTAGTAATTCAAAGTTTTTGAATTTCGAGTCAAAACAATTTCATATTCAGATAATTTAATAAGAAAAATAATAGAAACAGTGAAAAATACAAAAATATATTGGTAGTAAACGAAGAGGTTGTGTATAATTTAAACTTCTTGGGTAATCTGTACTTCAACTACAATTTTCTGGGAAGTTAATAAATTCAGTCAACTTTTGTTTTTTTGTAAAAATACTGGCTGTATGCATTATTCATCACATGCTAAGTTAACACATTTAAAGCATACATAAAAATTTGTTTATTAATCGATCGAGACGGTCAATATTAATGTTTTAGAATCAAATGAACTTTCTACTGTATGCATCAGACAAATTTGTAACAACCAATCGTTCATATTTCTTGTATTTCAAAACCAATCAAAACTTTCGATTTATGAATATGAGATATTTAATTATTCCTATGTTTCAAACATATAACTGATATGAATGTGATTTATTTTCAATTTGAAGCTGAAGAGCAGTTCCATGAATTTTTTCGTCTATTTAAAATGCAATATTTCTGCAAGAATAAATTGTTAATTAATTATGTTTCTTAAATATTTTAGGTTGAAGGTTATACATGTCGATGTTTAAAAGGTTTTGCTGATATATCGGAGAATCCAGAAAGTAGGCCAGGTCGAATATGTCAAAAGGAGGTCAATGAATGTGCTAATCCAGCCAATATTGATTGCTCCGAAAATGCCAAATGTCACGATACAGCGGAAAGTTTTACATGTGTTTGCAATGCGGGATTTGTGGATATCAGTGCTCACTACTCGCTATTACCTGGAAGAAAGGTAAAATTGGCTATACGATTACCACTGATTATAATGTACTGAGATATATATCATCTTCAATATTACAACAACAATAGATGACCCGATTAAGTTCCATTACCTAATAAAGATTCGATAATTTTACATAAATTTCTTTAATTTTCTTAGTGCGTGGAAAATGTAAATGAATGTAGCAGTGGTATAAATGATTGCTCAGCAAATGCTGAATGCATCGATCAACCAGTTGGGTGAGTAATTCTCGTTATTAGTTTTCTTTTTTTCTTTCTGTTTGAAAAATAAAGTTAAATCAGAGAAGGAATTCTTTTAAGACTTAAACTTTGTGCATAACTCATTTATGAAATTTGAAAACATTGCATTATTCAAAAATGGTAATATTATTCTTGCGAATTATCTAACTTAAAGATCAAAG